ACGGTTTAGACAAGGTTCAGCGAATTAAGAGATAGTGGCGCTGGCTAGGTCTTGTCGTCCAAAATTGGACGAAAAAATTTCAGTTCTGAAAATATACGACAAAGTCCCCGCCGGGGGAAGCAGAAGAAGACCAGGTGGCCTGGCTACCCTTGGTATCTTCAATTGGCATCAAACAGCGTAAAGGAGCGTGCGACTGGCGCACTGTTGTAAACTCGGCTCGAATTTTGCCCTTCTCTAAGTAGTCTAAGTAGATCTCACCTTATGAATCCCGGAAAATGGTGGTCATCCCTTTTCCGGCTGATAAGATCGTCTTCTCCTTCTTGGGAGCATGTTCACCAGATGGAGAACAAAGTTTCGTTTCCTTGATATCTGGTGGCTTAAAGATGATCCATGTTATGTCAACAAACCCAGTTTAATTTCACTGCTCGCACTCTCTTCGAAAAGGTTCGAATCACCGACCTTTTTTTTTTCATTTTTCTAAAATCCACATGAATGCCGATTTCCAGTCACAACAAAACCAGAAGTCTAATTCGGTTGAAAACTTGACAGCAGCTATCTACGTAAACCTACTACACATTATCTAAATATCCATTACAACAATAACAACATATGGTACTGTGCGATAGTAAAGTTACCTTGTGATAGTGGAGCCAACGTACAGAGATTCTAAATATTGAGAATTAAAAATGGTGAACCAGCCTCGTAGACAGCTAATACAAACATATGTATGTATGTGTATGAGTGGCAAATTTGGGGTTATGTGTGCAGAAACATAAGTGGACGTACTTAAATGGCGAAAAGGCTAATATACGCCCCTATCCGCATCGAACTTTCTGCTTAGTCCCTACAAATAAAAATGCATACTCACACACATACACCCGCAAGTGTTTGCTGTGTGCGCATACAAAGAGTGAGGGCCAGATATTTTAAACTTTTGACCAATTTCAACTTTGGCTTGGCTTGGCTTGGCTCTGCTGGTGCAGCAGCTGTCTCTTATACACATCTAGATGTGTATAAGAGACAGCACATACACCCGCAAGTGTTTGCTGTGTGCGCATACAAAGAGTGAGGGCCAGATATTTTAAACTTTTGACCAATTTCAACTTTGGCTTGGCTTGGCTTGGCTCTGCTGGTGCAGCAGTTGGCGGCTACAACATTCGGTTTCATCGAGCGCCACCAGCGCCACCTTCGCAATTTATTGCCATGGCAATCTGCTGCCACTCGTACTTTTGATTGCGGACTTGCCAGCAACTATGTAACTACTTACATGACTGTAAGTGTGTATGTGGATACATATGTATGTGCGGCTCGGTCGCATTTTTATTGCACTAACTGCCCCAATCCATTTATAATTGTTGCTTCACACACATGCTACCGATAACTGTTTATGGTTTATACTCAGATACATACAAACATACGTCATTTCAACCACTCATAGTCCCCATATAGCCCCCACATGCTCACTAAACTCAACGCCCACTTCATTTTCGTTGATATTACAGCCGCTGTTCATATTGCTGGTGCCCCCGATCGGCTTGGGCATTTCCATTTGCGGTTATAAATATTTTACCCTCACTGCGCCAACAGTTCTGCGGACTTGCTGTGCGTTACCATTTGACCAAAATCATGTTTGAAAGCATCACAAGGATTTGCGAATTGAAATGCAACGGACTGCCGCAAGCACATGCCGACTTTTCGCTAAAATATGGCCCTTTGTATGATTGTGTGTACGTATGTTAGTTCATAAAATTTGGAGAAGCATATATTAATCGAGGTATCGCTTTTTGGTTAGGATATCCAATGTGAACGGCGTTGTCCCTTCTGCGTGTTAAGCTCAAGGCTCATCGTAGAACTTTAAATGATTGTAGTGAATTGTTGGAATCTATAATACATTGTTGCAGAATAGCAAATCCGCTGAGAACTACGATCCACTGAGAAATTGTAGCCGATCTCCTTCAGTGCTCTGAAAGTTAGTTTGTGCTCTTTTCTATAGCCTGAGACCTACCAATGTTATGATTTTTAATCAAAGGTCATAAAATTCATACAATCGCATTACGAAGATAGCACATTTCTAAGTCTGGCCATTTCATTTCTTTAAAAGGTTTCTTGGGCTCGCATATTACGAGCGAGATTACTTTGTATTTGCACCAAGTTCTGTAGCTGATCAATTTAAGGGCATAGTTCTTCCTTAGGTACGTTCCTACTTATTATTATCTTCGACCGGTTGTTGCAGCGGTTATCTAAACCCCGTTTAGGGGGTAAGGTTCAGGTTTTCATTGAAGTCATCTTACTTTCAGCCCAGGAAATGTGCAGTTTCGCCGGAGTCTCACCATAAGAAGAGGAGTTTTAGATAAGTAGGTTTGTTTGGGCATGCAAAGTAATGGTTAGGGTAGTGCAGGAATACATTGCACGCAAGACATATATTTGGTACGTCAGGGTCTATTCTGGATAAGAAGGAATCGCGCCTGCTGTAGTGTTTCGAACGCAGTTTCGCAAGGGTCACGCTAGATTCTGTGGGCAACTTGAGCTCTTCGTCTGCTATAGGTGGTGGTTTAACTCCAAGTACACCGTTATTTTCACTTGGTCGACGTATGCGGGTGAGAGTTATGATCAATCATGACTAGCGAGGCAAATACTACTAGGATGATGAGAACGCAGAGTCGTTTGGTTGGGACCGTTAGTGGCTTTGTAGTTACGACGTTAAGGTAAGTATGTTATAGTAGTATTAACTACAACTTTAAATTCAGTTTCTAAGTACGACAAAAGCAAGCAAGAACAGATTGAGAAGTTTTGTTTCATCATTAGAAAAGAGATTCCATTCACACGAATGGATTTCAATAATTTAAAAAATTCGGTTATGGACTACGTCGGTACTGGAACGATTTGTCAGGATGTATGGCCTTCTGAAGCGATCGGTTTTCTTGGGACGATACTGACGCTCGGAGATTTGCAGCATAATAGATTGCTAATTGGATTGATTTCCGCTATTGTTTCTAACATATCATGGGAAGTTCAAAGCTGACCTAATAGACGCATGTATGTCGCTTGAAGACTCGACAGTTGTCGGGGGATGCAGAACCCCAAATGGGAATAAAGTATGACAATATGCTTCAAATGATGGCATTGAATGCTCGTTTTTGGGTGCTTGGGGAAACCCTTTTGGGTGTAAAAAAAAAAAGGGTTTCAGTGAGCTGAAGGCGCCGTTGGCCTTGTCTCGAACTGCTGAGATTTGCTTCATCCAGGTTAGCCGCCTGTCGAAGACAACACCGAGGTATTTCAGGGAGGAACATTTGATGATTAACCTGTTTACCAAGATTTTTAGCGGTTTTCGCGCTCGCCGTGTAAAGAAGATTGCCTCTGATTTGGTTGTGTTAATATATAATCTCCACAACCAATACCAGTCGAGTACGGTGGTAATAAATTTATTGAGGACGAATGTGCTGTAGTTAATAGTACGGGAGGCAGAGTTTGCCTAAGGAACTCCCGCCGTAATCGGGTGAATTTCAGAGAGCTCACTATTCACCCGACCAGTGATTTTCCGGTTAGACAAGAAGGAATGGACTAAACCGATGAGGTATTGTGGGAAGTTTTGCTTTATGAGTTTATATATATATATAGGAGCATAGGGATATGTCGCCCTTTGTTGAGGTGGTTACAAATTCGGCGACCCATACTTGTTGGTGCGAGGTACCGTGTTTCTTCCGCAACCCATGTTGGAAGTCGGGGAGAATTTTCTCTTCCGTAAGAAATTTCTCTAACTGGGAGAGAATTATGCTTTCAGCTACTTTGCTGAGGAGGCAAAGTAGGCTGATGACGAAACGCATCATGGCGTTTATGCTGTTGCTTAGGGCGACTAAGTACTTACGCGGTAAGATTTTTAGGACGCGGTTACCGATGCCGCTTTGAGATAGCGGAAGCCTCTTTCAAGTAAATACTTATCAAAATAAATATTTTGTGAAAGTTTATTAAAAGCGCTAAAAATTAGAGTAAAAATCACAATCATCTGTATATAACATAGTCATACTAGATAACACAAAAAAATCAACAATTTCTTTTTAAACAACAAATAAATAAATATAACAATTATTGCAAAGCATATATAAATAGTTTCATAAATATAAAATATGAGTTTAACAAATAAATATAAAGCCTTTTTTATAAACATTCTTGTTGAACATGTCTTTGGTTTTAGTTTTTGAGATTTACTGTTAGCATATTTCATGCTTACATTACGATTAAGCATATATATATGTATATAGTAATAATAATAGCCAACAAAGCATTGTTTCATAAAGCACTTCGTTTCACTAATTGTTACAATATAATAATTGATAATTTTATATTTTCATAAGTTTTATATTTTATTTCGCTTAAATAACTATGTTATGAAAACTGCAGTCAGCCACTTAATTTGGGCAATTTGCAAATTCATATGAAGAAAACTTGCTGACACAATTAAGTGGCTGTCTGAACGCCCCATAAATCATTTATTTTATAGTAAACATTTGTAACACAACTAAAATTATTGAATGAATTGACTAGAATGTTAAATGAGTTGCATGGCTGTTAGCTTTTAAAAGCTTCGTTATAAAAGTAGCATTAATTTTTGATTTTTGAGTATTATAATTACTTGTTTAAATATTTTAATATCATATTTGAGTATTGCATTATTTTTTTGTTATAGTTGTATAAATGTTTGATGATGTAAATGTATAAATTTTATGCTATCATGCCTTAGATGTTAAAGTTCAGCAGGCATTTTTAATTATTTAAACTATGTACCTAAATATTTTCTATATGAAAATGAGTATGTAGCATTTCAAAAGGTACCGTTATTACTAAGCATTATGAACACACAACTACAAATCACGTTTTTTGTTTACAGACTGCTGCATGGGGGTTGCCTTCAGTACTTTCGTAGGTATTTTAAACGTTAAAAATTCCGAATATTTACATTTTTTTATATAAGAAAAATAGTTTAAACACAAGCCACGCGGTAATCTTATTTTACGATCTATTATAATGTATTTGTTTAACAAAACAATCGAATAGGAAACAGCGTTATTTTTTAGTTAAGGCAAGTGTACATTTGTGCATTACTTAGTGCTTTGGTTGTCATTTCAGTTGATTCAATGTCTTTGTTAATGTACTTAAACTAGTTTTTTTTCGCTAATTTTCTACTTATTTACTATGGTTATATAATTTTAGATATTATTTGGTTTAAATGACTAGTCACTGACACTTAGCAGCTGGAGCATATTTATATCTTTTTCGCTTAATAACTTAAATATATTGTAGCCGAGTATTTAATTCTGTGTTATTTGAGTATTTATATGCACATTTTAAAGCCTCCAATCTTAAAAGCCATTATTGTATAGCACATACTGCAGATGAACCGGAATATTGATTATTTAAGCGTCTTTTCATACCCTCCAAATAAATATCACGATGGAATAGACCAGCCGCCAATGGAATACTGCAAAACGAATGTGTACAAATTAGTATAAAAAGTATAACATAATTCCTTCTAAGTGACAAACTTATTATACCCTGTACAAGCGATAATAAATAATAAAATTTGACAAAAAGAAATGAAACTTACGAATCGGTGCCCGCGCGAATCTGCGTTTTGAACAACGCCCACACCGGTTTGTGATCCGAAGTTGTAATAGATGGCACAGAATCATACAGCAAACACTGCACATATGGCTGTGGAGCGTTTACACCTGATGCAAGTGTACTGCCACGACGTATGCCTAAACCCTGTGACTGTCTATACTTATAGAGAATGCGATCGGTGTATGCGGGAGCGCGTTGTTTGGATGATGTATCAAAATGTTGGGTGCCAGGATCATACTAAAATTAACAAGCAAAAAAAAGCATAAACTTGGCATACAATTTTCATAAAATTTCGAAGCTATTAAGACACACCTTGTATGTTGGTGGAAATGTTATATTCGCTTCCATAAAACCACGAAAAGCAGCTCCGTCGGCCAAAACTGATGATAATTGATCGGTGTGCATATAGCCATGTGGCAAGTGTGAAGGTAGTGGAAATTTTGTATTTTGAATCCATTCCAAGAGTTTTTCACGCGGTTCACCAAGACGAAAATTGAGGTCACCACACCAAAAGACATTATCGAAATTCTGTGTTACATCCTTATTTTTATGACGTAAATTTAAATTTTTTGGCAAATCAAGCGCATGTATTATGCGTTTCACATCGGACACGCGTTCTTTGACTTTCTGCTGATGAGCGGTCAAATGTGATGTAACGAATAACATTGATGTACCGAAGATACAAAAGGATATAGCGACGGCGCCTTTCGTACGAAAAGCAGTGCCGGTACGCACAGAAAAGGAGGCATCCTCTGGCGCTGAGCAATACCATATAAGATCTCGACGCATATAAATAGCCAAATGCAGTGTGCCTAAGTTAGTTGAATAGAAAAGTACGTGCGATGGTCCTAGGGTCTCTTGTATTGTCACTTCCCATTCGAAACTATCGGGACTGGATTCTTGTGTGCCCATAGCGACAACATCTGGCACATGTTCCACAGTCAATGGCAGTACGAAGTCATTCATTTGCCTGAAATTAAAAATTGTGCGTAAAAACTTTTTAAATTACTTATATTTATTTTTAAAGTTATTTTTGTTACTTTGGTGGATTTTGCCCATTCATATTCCATGTGCCCACGAATATTGTAATTTCTTTATTTGGCAAAATGCGATCCAATTCCGCAGGTCCCAGCAGTGCTGAAGATCCCATGTGACCCTCCATAAAACTTCTGTTTAAATTTAATTACAAGAACAAAATTATGAACAATTCAAGTATTAAATATTTTGTTTAAAATAGTATTAATGTGGTGGTTACCTTTCTCGTGCTTTATCCGTGGGTATTAAGCTTAGCACTTGAGCACTCAGCAGCGCACGCCGTGCTAAGCCTACTTGACTGGATTGCAATCTCTGCATTTGTATATTTTCATGGGAACTAAAACGCATATTTTGTGTTTCGTGTGTTTCCAATTCTCTCGCTATGTCTGGCTGGATGGCAATATTTGGCGAAGACATGTGTTGTGGTGTTGTTGCCCGTTTTATGTTGTTGGCTGACGCATCGTTTAATTTAGGCTCTAACGATGGTAACTCTTTGTCTGGCGGATATAGTTTCAGTCGTAGTCGTGAACGGCAAGCGGAAACAGCTAATGGACGTATTGGACCGCTACAATGTGCACCCTCTTTATTATATGTTGGCACTTGTTCACTTTGACCACTTTTTAGTGATACATTTGACGGACTGCTATGCGAGGAGGTAAACATCACCTTAGCCGTAACTGGAGATTCTGGTGCACTGGAACATTCGGTTAAATTCACTCTTGCAATTTTATTTGTCAAATTTGCATCACCTTTTGGCAATTGCATGGACGAGTTTTCATCGGATGACTGTAGCGAAACCGATGTGTTATCTATAAAACTCCAACATAACGTTTGGCTATCACGTTTGAGCGTCGTATTGGCTGGATCTGGTATCGAGTTGTAACGCACTGTTACTGGCGGTGTCATGGGTTTCTTTTCAGCTTTACAGCATAAGCTAAATTGGTGGCTGAAACGATTATGATTCGGGGAACGATATTTAGCTGTCTTTCGCAGCACCACTTCAGCAGCGCCACTATCGCTTTGTGAGCCATCAGTGCTACGCCTACGCGCATGAGAATTGGAGTTTAGAGCATTACTGTTATATGGTTGTCCTAGATAATTGCCACGAGCTGGTAGCGTTTTACTCTTGGTTGTTAAGGCATCGCTATTATTTTTTAGACCATTTTGTTTTTGCGGTGAAACAGGTGAGCGTTGACGGTCAGCTGAACACTTGGCGAAGGTCACATCATGACTAGTGTTATCATGGTAATGTCCACATGCGGATGATGGACGCAAATGATGCGTTGATTTGTCATGTTTCTTTGAATCACCATCTCTTGGATGTGGCTCTATTTTACTGGAACGCTTTGTCAAAAATCCCAAAATAGATAAGTGTTTGTGGGGTAAGCGAGGACTAGAGTTGGCGCTTTCAACACGCTCTTCACTATTGCAATCTTGCATTGTTAATAATTCAGTTTTAAATTTGTTAAATCTGATTTAACGGTACACGACGTTCAAATTTATCACTTTTTTGTAATTTATATCCATAATTCCAATTTCTCTTTGTGCATTAGATAAAGATATAAATTAAGCTAATCATTAATTCAATCAAGGCAATCCATTCAGTGAGGAACAAGCGAATAGCATATATATGTGCATATTTCTCTGTTATATGCAATACATTCTATATATTATATCCATTTTCTTATTCTAATTGTCGCTTTGAATACTTGAATGTTTACATATGTATGTATATGTTTAAGTATTTAATTTTTACATCCAGCACAAAGTTGTTCCACCTCCACATTTGCCACAATTACTTGGGCTTACTTATACATACGTGTACACATTTATGTTATATTTAAATATAATATTTATTCTTATTTTGTGTATCATTTCTTTTTAACTACTCTTCATAACGACAGCGTTAGTTAACAGTCATTCCCAGTGCACCCGGAAGTCCATCATTTACAACGTGCCATTAGAAAATCAATACAATTATGCACAACAAAGTATATGTAGTATGCGATAATTTTGGAATCAATTAGAGCTTATAAATCTTAATTATACACTTTCTCCTATTTATTTTTTGCTTAAAGAATATATTATAAATCGACAAAACCATCATATATTCTTCAATTTATTTCGGCTATAAATTTTAATTACATTTTGTACTTTTTTTATATAAGCTCACACATCCGTATCACTTTGACAGCAGCTTTCAGTGGTTGCCAGTATTTGAAACTTAATTTCATCACGATGCCACAATTTATTTCAAATTCACCACTTTTAATTGTGGTGGTTTTCCCATTCGGCATGGCACTTCACCACCGTAAATTTCTTCGTCATTGGTCTTTTTATTCACTTTATTTGGCAGTTTCGAAATGAAAACCACGAATGAAAATATCAGCTGTTTATGGTTATGGCACAATTAAGTGAGAAATTAAGCGACTATAAGGAATATCGTTAGGACTTGTTGCGCATGAAATTTTTAAATGATAAACAGCACACAAGTAATTGTAAATACCAAAAAGTTCCTAATAAAATAATCTGGTTACTCTTTAACTTTTGACAGCTGTTTCGATTATGATTGCTAAGAAAATAGTTTATTATAAAGACGTTGGAACAAACAAAACTTCAATTGGAATACAGTCTGTTGTGAAATTTATACAAAACTTAAAGTAATGGGCCCACCAAAGAAATCCAAAAAGGACAGATTTACTGGAGATAAATTTGGTAAGAGAAGGATTGTATTGCTTTTTATACTTTTAACGCCTATCTGTAATCAGGGAAGAAACGTCGTGCTGAAGATGAGGCTTTCACTCAATTGGTAGAAGATGGGGATTCCTTGCCTTCTGATGGTGTTACCGAGCTGGACGGAGTGCCTGTAGCTGCTTCTAAAAATGTTGAAACAAACGATGATGGCATTATGACCGACGAGTATGGAGCCAAGGATTATCGTGCACAAATGGAACTGAAGCCAGATCATACAAATCGACCATTGTGGGTTGCGCCAAATGGGCATGTGTTTTTGGAATCGTTTTCGCCCGTTTATAAACATGCACATGATTTTCTAATAGCCATTTCTGAGCCTGTCTGTCGGCCAGAACATATACATGAATATAAATTAACAGCTTACAGTTTATATGCAGCGGTGTCAGTGGGATTACAAACACATGATATAATTGAATATCTCAAACGTTTGAGCAAGACATCAATTCCGGAAGGTATTATTGAGTTTATTAAACTATGTACATTATCCTATGGAAAAGTAAAATTGGTGCTAAAACACAACAGGTATGTTCATATTATTTAGACTAACAAATAACTTGAGATTATTAAAAGATTTAATTTAGGTATTTTATTGAATCACCACATCCCGATATATTACAAAAGCTCTTGAAAGATCCAGTAATACAACAATGTCGTTTGAAACGCGAAGAAGACGAAGGTTTTATACAAGGCACATTAGAAGGTAAAGCCATCACACAATTTGGCACGAAATTACCACCAGGTGAAGCCGCAGCCACAACTTCGACCAATGACAATGATCCCAATGCTGCTACTGCTGTCGGAACAGCAACTACAACAAACCCTGATGGCACCCCTGTTGTACCAGAAGATATTACAAATTTCTATGACAAAATTGACAACGAAGAAGAAGACGAGGATGAGGCCAATTTAAAAACCGTGTCCTTTGAAGTGAACCAAGAAAAAATTGAAGTCATACAGAAACGCTGCATTGAAATTGAACATCCCTTACTGGCTGAATACGACTTTCGCAACGATACACATAATCCCGATATAAATATAGATTTGAAGCCAGCTGCGGTGCTGCGTCCATATCAAGAGAAAAGTTTGCGTAAAATGTTTGGCAATGGCCGTGCCAGATCCGGTGTGATTGTGTTACCTTGCGGTGCTGGCAAATCACTTGTTGGTGTCACAGCCTGTTGCACCGTGCGCAAACGTGCTCTAGTTCTTTGCAACAGTGGTGTTTCGGTCGAACAATGGAAACAACAATTTAAAATGTGGTCCACAGCCGATGACAGTATGATTTGTCGTTTTACATCTGAAGCTAAAGACAAGCCTATGGGTTGTGGTATACTAGTGACCACATATTCCATGATTACGCATACACAGAAGCGTTCATGGGAAGCAGAGCAAACTATGCGCTGGTTACAAGAGCAGGAATGGGGTATTATGGTGCTCGATGAAGTACACACCATCCCGGCGAAAATGTTCCGACGCGTATTGACAATTGTACAATCTCACTGTAAATTGGGTCTGACAGCTACACTTTTGCGTGAGGATGATAAAATTGCCGATTTGAATTTTCTTATTGGACCGAAACTGTACGAAGCGAATTGGTTAGAATTACAAAAGAAGGGCTACATTGCCCGAGTGCAATGTGCTGAAGTGTGGTGTCCTATGTCACCAGAATTTTATCGCGAATATCTAACAACAAAAACATCGAAGAAAATGTTGCTCTATGTGATGAATCCATCGAAGTTTCGTAGTTGTCAGTTCCTAATAAAATATCATGAAAAGCGCGGTGATAAGACTATTGTGTTCTCGGATAATGTGTTTGCACTGAAACACTATGCTATAAAGATGAATAAACCGTTCATTTATGGTCCTACCTCACAAAATGAGCGTATACAGATTTTGCAGAACTTTAAATTCAATCAAAAGGTAAAATTATTATTAAAGTATATATATATATATGCATATACAAATGAACGTGGCGAGCCATCCTCATTTAAATGTTTTATGCCCTTAGGTCAACACAATTTTCGTGTCGAAAGTGGCAGATACCAGTTTTGATCTGCCCGAGGCTAACGTTTTGATTCAGATATCCTCACATGGCGGATCGCGTCGTCAGGAAGCACAACGTCTTGGACGTATTTTGCGTGCAAAGAAGGGCGCGATTGCAGAGGAATACAACGCCTTCTTCTACACACTCGTCTCGCAGGACACCATGGAAATGAGTTACTCACGCAAGCGTCAAAGATTCTTGGTGAATCAAGGCTACAGTTATAAAGTAATCACACATCTGAGTGGCATGGACACTGATCCGGATTTGATGTATAAAACACGTGAAGAACAATCACAACTTTTGCAGCAAGTACTATCCGCCTCAGATCTGGATTGTGAGGATGAAAAAGTGCCGGGTGAGCCGGGTTATCGGCCTAGTGGTGGCGCAGCATCTAAACGTGCTGGTGGACTTAGTTCAATGTCTGGCGGTGACGACGCCATCTACTATGAGCAGCGCAGACGCAATGCAGGCTCAGTGCATCCACTTTTCAAGAAATTTAGAGGTTAAGCATGGCCTGCCAATTCAAATAAAAAACCCAGCACACAAAAATATACAAAGTTTAAATAAATTTATTAAATTTGTTGTGTACTTAGAATTCACAAAAGGGGAAAATTACATAGTAATCTTATGAATAACTGCACAAAAGTGTGCTAAAAACTAATTTAGCGCGGCCGTGGTCTTCGCGCTCTCATGCCTTATAGCATTGATAAGCTCATAGTTCACTAAAAACACGAATCGTAAGCTGCATATCTGGAAGTACATAAATTTAGTTTAAAAAGAAAATATTCACTATATACAATTTAATTTACCTCGACCACACAGTTGTTAGCGAGTCGCGTCTTATTTCCAGTCAATAAGGGCACGCCATCAATGAAAATAGGTCGTTTACCTTCATTTGCAATGAAAAAATCACCATTGCTGCGCAGTTTAATTGTGCCTTGACGGCGTGAGATTTTACATGCTGGACCCTCCAAAGACAGATCGATATCTACATGCGAATCCTCAACAAAGCGACCAAAAGTGATCTCCTTCGACCGCATTAAATAACGCACCAAGCGGCCCCTAAGCACGGCCAGCGTTTGACCATCAAATTCTGGTGGTGCGACGCCTGTGACCGAGTCCACTAAAACATTCCAACGGCTTAATTCATTTTCCAGCAGACGAATTTCACGTTTATTTTGACGGTCTGTCAACGCTAACTCAATCTCGAGCGCTTCATCACGTTGATCATTCAGTTCGGCGTCCAATATAAGATCCTCAGCATCGGAGAAACTTAGTGGTTGATCGCTCATATGTAGCGGCTTAACCACCTGATCTGGGAGTAATTGATATTGTTTCATCATTTGCCAATGATTCTGTAATGACTTAGCTGTCCGTGCACTATAGAAAAGGGAGGCATTCTTTTCAAGTAAATCCTGGAACTGCTCCAGTTTTGGGCTATCAGTCTACAAAGAATTTAACTTTAGCCAACACCATATTTAGTGATATAAATCTCCTCTACTTACACTCTTTATAGTTCCCAATAGTTCTTCTTCTTGTACACTGAAAAGTGCCTTACTTTGAACTGACTCCACAAGCTCTGGATGTAGATTTCGCATAGCAGCAACTGCGATACGTGAAATCGCGGGCTCATATAGCAAAGAAAACCAACGAGACTGTAATTCCTGTAAAGTGAACTTGCAGGAGAATTTAACGCCTCGATGTACCATACGCAAGTCATTTGTTTGTTGTATACCAATAATTAACGCTAAATCGTCAATTGGTTTCCAACGTCCCAAATCTTTCGTAGTAATCTGACTTGGAGGACGACCGGTTTTTTTAGATTTCTTATTATTGGAACGTGGTGGACGTCTTTTGTCCGAGACATGTGCAGATAGTGCACGTTCCATTGAAGGTGAAGTTTGTTTGACTGTAGTCGTCGGGTGAACTGGTGGCAGTGGAGTAGATGCTCCAACTAAAGAAATATTTCCGTTGCTTGTGTTAGGTGCAGATGCCGACGTTGGTGTGTCTCTAACAAAAGTAGAAACTTCAAGATTGCTGTTAGCAGGCGTAGGTGCTTGTAAAACTGCTGTTGATAAAGATTGCGTTTGTGCAGAAGTCTGGGAAGTTGTGCGCTGTCGTCCGACTTTCGGTTCACCTCGCGACTGTGGAAATCCAATGCTGTATTCTACAATTTCGTCGTCAAAACGTTTGCGCTTAATTGAACGAGATGAGCTATGAACAGAAAATAATTATATTATATATTGGAAGTTTATTTAAGCGTTTACCTTCTTCGCTTTTGGTCATTCTGCAGTTCAATTGGTAAATTCTGCAATGGCGTCCCTGTTGTTGAAATTGGATTTGATGTTGCTGTTGTTGCAGACGTAGTAGGCGCAGACAAATTTGTTTTTTCTTTAGTTTTTTGAGCACTAGTCTTGGTAGGCGTTGCATTTGTATCCATGGCGACCACTGATTCGAAAACGACAAGCCTATTAGGATTTAAATTTTTTACAAATATTTTTTGCAGTATTAAATTTTCTGTTGTCAACAAGCAGGACAGAATTAAGAGAAAAGGAATTTGACAATTCAATCAAATTTATTTTGACAGCAATCAGTACTGCCATTCAACGCACACTACTAAGGTTACGTTTACAGTATATTATTTTAATTAAAACAATTTCCTATAAATGTGTTGTATTGTATTAAAGTTTGTTAATAAGTCAATATATTTTCCAAAATATTATATTACGTAGGAAGGATTACAACAGCTAGAAATAAAATATTTTTATTCATTGGGTTGATCTTATTGTAATTACAAGCAAGCAAATAAAATTATAAATATAAAATAGGCAATTGAAAAATAATTTTTTGGAGAGTTCAACTTTTCTGTTTAAATGTAAAAAAATTCTTAGCAACATACAATTTTTTTCTATTTTGTAATTTTTATATATGTAAGGTACAGGTTTCCTCATTTATTAAATTGAAAATATGCTGATTGAAAAGGTTTGTGGCAAATATGTCACGAAGCAAATTTTAATATTTAAAACTTTATTTATAATTAACATCTCTCAAATAAAATAATTTATTAAATTGCTTGTGTTTGTTTATAAAGTATATATTTTAATTCAAAAGTACAGATACTTGGACATCTGGCAATATTGTAAAAGTTTTCGATGACTGATGAAATGTAAATGTTTCTTCTTTATTTATTTTTATTCAGTGAAAATAGTAGTTCAAAGGGAAAACCAAACTTCTTTAAAAATTGTTTATTATATTTTAATAATATTAAAGTAATTAAGCTTTAACAAGTGAGATGAGGTGAGCGCTTACACAGCTTAATCGGAAATTATAAATGTGTTTATAACATATGTAAAAGTGTGCATGAAAAGCAGCAGAACATAAAAACGCTGATTAATCGATTAAAAATTTAAAATGAAAGCAATGTTCTTCTAATTAATTCCTTTTATTTACACTCAACTAGTTTACAAATGGAGAGTCCATTAACGGACAGCAAAATGGATATATCAGACGCAACAACTTCACAAGGCTCAGCAGGTGTATCGCCACTGGGAGAAGATGATGATCCTGATGCCTCACAATCGCCAACTCACAGCAATCACAATATACACCAAGTACTCATAAAAGATACAATTGTTGTATCGAATAGCACAATGAAGGAGGTGAATGTTGAATTGGTAAATGAAGTTACATCGAATCTGGATAACAGATTGGTACGACCAGACGCGTTATCGTTGGAGCTAATACCACAGCGACAAAATATTGCACGTACCATTACCGTGAGTCATCCATTAATGTCACCCACGTGTTCCGAGAATGAACACAGCTCGGCGAATTCGGTGACGATGAATAATGATGTGAAGCGCAACAATTTCCCCGATGTGGTGCCGCAATACGAACATGTGCAGTCGCCGCTGCAGTCTAGTACAATAATTGAACGAAATGCTTTAAATAATACACGGGGTATTGCAAACGCACCTGCTCCAGCGCACAATAAGCTAGCTTATTTACGTGCCCATAGTCCTGATCTGTTGAGCAGCGAATCTGAAGCAGACGTATCACAGTATCACGCTACAGTTGAGGCCAACTTTCAAACGGTAGCACTCTTACCGACTGCGGGTAATGAATTGCATAAAAATACTCGTCGTATTAGAAAATCCAATACAAATGGTGGTAACGGTGGTGATGACATCTCATCACTAGATTCAATTTCAAATCACAGTTTTGACGATGATGAGGACATTGAACATAATTTGGCTTCGTTAAGCCCATCGAGTTCATTGATTGACGGTTTAGATGATGATAGTGATGATGGCGGCGTCGCCGGTTGTATAGATGATGAAGACGATTATCCTGAAGCAGTTACCCCAACACCACATTTACAATCGATGGCGTTAACGAGCAACATAGAAGGTGCATCCGACAAATTGCCGCAATATTCGGCAGCTGAAGAGAGACGTGACTCAAGAAATTGGCAAAAGATCACATTACCTGATGGCCGTACTAGAGAAATAGATATGCGCGTGATCGAACCATATAAACGTGTGCTCTCCCATGGTGGTTACTTGCAGGCTGGCGGCCACAATGCTATTGTCATTTTTTGTGCCTGCCATCTGCCGGATCGTTCGCGTGCTGATTATAACTACGTAATGGATAATCTATTCCTGTATGTGGTTAAAACATTGGAACAATTAGTAACGGAGGACTATGTGCTCATCTATTTGCATGGTGGCACTAGTCGACGCAATGTGCCGCCATTTCCATGGTTAAAAAAGTACACAACTCTAGTAATAGAAATTGAATATGTTAATTAATTTTTTTTGTTTTTGCAGATGCTATCAGCTTCTAGATCGCCGTTTAAGAAAAAGTCTGAAAAACATGTATTTAGTACATCCAACATTCTGGATTAAATCTATAGTATGGATGACTCGTCCCTTTGTTAGGTAAACGCAAGTAAATTTTCCTTTTTTTTTTAATTTTTAATAAATAATATTTTGTTTACAGCGCAAAATTCTGGCGCAAATTGGTGTATGTGAAATCTTTGGATGAGCTTGCCAAGTACGTGATTGTGGAGAAAGCTGCCATACCGGAGAAGGTCAAACAGTATGATGCGCGACATAACTAAAAAAGTGCTTACACATGGCTTGCATTCCCGCCAAAGCTATGTACTTGGCTAGCAAATCACAATTAGTGCAATAGGCAAAAAATTTAAAAGCAGCAAAAGAACACAGCGAAGTTTTTACGCACCTCTTGCGTTAGTTGATGCATTCCTTATGCGCCTTTTTAAATATTTTGAAATTATGTTCCATTTATCTGTAGCTGGCATACAGTTTTTATTATTTATATTTACGCACTTGTCGCGCTATGAACTAAAATTCTATCACTCCATTACTCGCATATCTCATACAGCGATAGGTTTTTCATTTAATTGTTTTCTTGTAACGTTCGGGATCTCAAATTTGTTTACTATATGTAGTATTGTGATATTTTCGCATTTATTAGCTTTGCTCTTCTCATTTCACATACTTTAGAGATGATACTTTCATAAATGAAAAGCAATAATTATTGCACTCGGTAGGATAGTATAAATTGTATGTGTATGTATGTATATGTAAAGGTATCAACTCGTTTACAAAGGCTTATGTTAATGTTCTATCAAAAAATGTGTTTACTGTTAAGGAGAATGAAAGATTTAACTACACGAAAGAAATTATTCATAAATAATCATATATGTAGGTAAAAAAAAATATGTACATCGAATATTTTGTAGACTTGTATGTAACTGTACTGAGCAAAAAGAAAGCACCCAAAGTCCGTGCAACCATAAATTGTTTTGGTGCCAAGCTGTACGCCCTTGGAAAGCCGGCTGAAAGTTATTATGTACGTACCTTGTGGCTTTTGGTTTTTGTAGCATAAATAATGTAAATCATACCAATATGTAACATTTTACACATGCACGTCCAATGATGTGCTAACGCTTATGTATTTCCATATATATAATATATGCATTGATTTGTTATCATGCTTTTCCTACATACCTACATATCGTATGCTAATTACAAAGATGTCGAAAAAGTTATAGAAAAAACTAATAATGGATAAATGAGTCTTAATAAATTATTAGTGTACTTTCTGCACTAACATTTAAGTTTGGAAATTATCATTGATTCTCAATTGTCCTTTATAATTTTATATAAATTTATAGTATGATTTAATTAATCATGATCAAAAAATATTTATAATTTTCTTATGATAAAAAATTAAGACATTTTTATGTTAATTTATTTAGTGTTGCAAATAATGCATTAAAAAATTATTAATTTAACATTTGAATTAATATTTTTTGTAATCCCGGAAATTTTAATTAAAAATATTTTTAATCTTGAAAATTTTAATTTATTAAACATATAATTTTATATTTTCTTCCTAAATACCGAATTAAAAAATAAAAAAAGTATATAACCAATCTTATAATTAAAAAAAAAACATATATTTTAACGCGTTTGCGTACTTCGTGTCTTGATAATTTTTTGAAAAGTAAAACTTTCTTTACTATTATTCACAAAATTTGAATGTGTAAATTATGACTTTAAATAATTAATTCTCAATATTATATTTCCTCGATATACTGAACATAAAATATGATAATCTATATTTTTTTGTAAGCATGATTAGACAAAATATTGATCACTTTTTTATTCTCAAGTATTTTACTGTGATTTGTTTTTGAACTCATCTGCAACTGTCAACGGGTCTTTGATGTTAGCCTTAAAAAAACTACTTATCTAATAATTTGCATTCAAGTCTAACAAATTCTTAGTTGTAGGTTAACTTTATTTATATCAATTATTAATGTGTTCGTTTTCTACAACAAAAAAACAATTGTGCCCCTCTGCGGTTCGTTGTTACTAGACGTGCGAAATAATTGAACTCATTTATGTATTTATACACAAAATTTAATACTCATATCAAGAAAGGTAAATTAATTTCCATTCATACATAGAAACATACGCAAATCAAGTCTAATATAATCTTTACTATTATTATTATAATTTTTATTAGATAAAATGTAATCAGTACAACCTCATACCACCAACTTAGCAACATGAAAACTTTCTACTTGTTACCTAAACCCACATATTTTCTAGTTGTAAGAAGTACAATCGAGAAACCATTTAGCTGTTGACAGTGTAAAAGGAAATGTAACGCTTTAGAAACTTTATAATCTTTGGATTTTGTGTACTGCAAATGCTATATAAATATATACATACATATATATGTCTAAGCATTCCCAGACTAATTTGATATACAAACACGCTGAGTATTTACTAACAATTAAATAAATATAATAATAGTAAAAATTATAATCACTCAAATAAATACCTTATTGATATTATGATACGCAATATTTGAAAACAAGACAATTGTTTATATTCTATATAGGCACGCATAAAAGTGGTCAGCACCAGAAACTCGAGCTTTTATATTTTACATCGTGTTTTTTTTCTGTTTTATTGATAACTCAGTTACATTTGAAAGAGAAAAAATTAATGTATGAACCTTTGAATATCGGCGCTGTAGGCATTTTAGCGTTAGTTCACAGTTACTTGCTTGTAAAGAGCAAAATTTTAATAACTTCCCAGCCTTTTAGTAGTTTGATCATTTATTTTTAATTTCTACAAGAGCGGTATGAAGGCAGGCAACGCGCCGACTTTGGGGCGCATAGGTGCTGAAGGCATTTCAGTATCAGAATCCAGCTCTTCCGAATGTGTATCAATCTCTTGCTTTTCAGCGTCCTCATCTTTTACCGTCATATCACATGTTGTTGTTGCATTTGCGTTTAAACATCTGTCAATGAAATAACGCTTTGCTATGCCCGAATTCTCTTGCGTGCTTGGAACAGCAACTTCTTTTGCTGCAGCACTGTTCACTTGTTTATTTTGCTGTTTTGTTGGCTCATTTAAAAGTTTTCGTTTGCGATTCTTGCAGTACACACAACCCGCCAAGTCACAGCTACCATTACGCTCGTATTCAGGACACAAGAATTCATGACGCTTGTTGCACTAATTGGAAAGTAATTTTTACGTTTGATTACAAAAAATTTGACTGTGATTTACCTGCTCCGCTAACTTGCAATAACCCCGTAGGAAATCCTGGCAAATTTCTGCGTTTACGCTAAGCTTTTTATGTAGATATGGACAGTCTGGGCGCACGCAAACACCCTGTAGAAAGAATTTACAAACTGGCATTTTCGCAAGCGAAACGTTATGTGAAAGCAAACAATTTGAGTTGTGGCATTCACTACGTAGAAATCTATAATAAAATTGTGAGTTACGCATATTAAAGTGTATAGTCAAAAACGAAAAAATACAAACCTTGGGCAGATAGTAACTTGGTTCTTATCATGCACTTTGTTGCACTTCCCTCTTTCATGCGCTATACATTTGCCTATGCGTTGGAAAATGGCACATGGTACATTGGTTTTGACGAAACGACGTGTGAGTAACTGCAGGCTACGATTCTTCGCCGTATTCAGATGTGCCAAGGCCAAATGGTTGCGCGTCCGCACGAAAACGTTTTGCGTTGTGGAAGCTATGTAGGTTAAACCACCAATGTCTATACGCTGGCGTTGTCTTTGAGCGGGTATTGTAGGCTTTGGTGTACCCGTTACGTTGTCCTTGGTGGTAGGTGCAATACGGGTTAGTTTGAAACCATTCTTATCTAAAACAAATTTTGTTCCATGAACAAATAGCACACGCTCGTTTGCCGTTTTGATGGGCTTTTGATTGTTTTTAATGGAATTAGTTTTTACGCTTAGAGAGGATACTCTTGCTGGTGACAAAAGATTTGACGCATTGCTAGAGTCCTTTCTTTGTAATTTATTGCGGGTGGATCGGTACAACACACCATTTATATTAAGCATTTGCAATTTTTTGTTGACAGGCAGTGATCGCAGCTTAGAGGAGCTGAAATATACGTAAAAATACATTTATTAACGGTTATTATGAAAATGTATACAAACTTACGTTATGGCATTTTTTGTTTCAGAATTTGAGCGCTGCAAAGCATAGCGTGCCACAAAACTCTTCCGTTTTAGTTTTACACCTGCCGTTGTTGCTAAAGGCAAACCTGGCCGTCGATCTAGTTTGTACTTTCCATGTGTGCTTTTTGGAGAGGCGGGAGTGATATTACGTAATAAACTAGCACCTGAAGTCGTATGCGTTCTTCTTACTAACTTTTTACTACTTAAACGTATGAGCGGCGATGGCACAGGCATAACTTTTGTTGTTGTAATTACCGCTGGTTCACGAACTATTTTTGTGCGTGATTTGGTTATAATTTTTTGTTTTGGGTCTTTACTTACTGGTAATATATTTGATTTAGTATTTAAAGATGATTTTTCCACTTCCTGGTCAGATTCACCGCATAGGTCGATAATTTCTCCATGAAGAAGCAAATTTTTTGATGGATTTTTTTTAATCGGAGTATTTTTGGTTACTAACTTCACTTTTTCGGAATGATTTACGCCATAATTTAATTTCAGTTTTTGTTGTTCAATGAGTTTACTATTGAAAAAGTTCGGATTCATATGTATTGCTGGTGGTCTATAAACACCCAAAAACAGTGGGTTGATGTGAGCACCAGATGACATTGTTTTGCTTATTACTGCATTTGCTGCGCAATTCGCCATTGGATGAATTTGCTTGTTAAAATGTGGATTAATATGGATAGTTCTCGAGGTTGGACTATCCGCTTTATCCTTGAATTGAGGCATATTAAAAACATGAATGATCTTCAATACGTTAATTATTAAATATACAAATAGACTTTTTCAGCATAATAACACAAAATACTAAATAAATATTTGACGTTTCTGACAAATGAATGTTCCCACCTGTGTGAATTTATTTGATAAATAAGTGTTTCCTAGTTTTACAAATACGTCAAATGACAACTCAGAAATGTCATCACTCTTTCTTCTTTCATCAGTTACGGTTCAGTGCAAGAATCCATGTTGAATCTGTCTTATTTGTATAACCGCAACCAAGTTTCTTTCTTTCCGGTTAACCATGGTAAGGAGACATCATAATTTCTCTCCTCTTTTAATGTTTTAATAAAAGTGTAAATAAAATGTGAATAATCATATAATGGTGCATGACTTCATGGTGTACAAAGATTCCCTTTATTTTGCATTTATTGGTGAAGGTTTTTATGTGATAAATTAGCTATTGCGAAACGACTTCACGTGGTGGTGGTACCACTTGGAACTGTCATTGAAACGTGGAGCAGAACCAACTTGCTAAATGATTTACTAATACTTCATTTATCTATTTACAGCCTTTCCAGAGGTTTGTACAGACTGGCCGCATTGCCAAATGCTCGGCGGGTCCCTTGAAGGGCCGCCTAGTCGCCATTGTTGACGTTATTGATCAAACACGCGTAAGTGAATATGAATACTTTTTCGACATTGTACGAAGGGTCTGCAAGTGATGATACGGTTCACGATAGGAAGTGCCAACTGATACATAACTGAAGCTATTTACAACCATAACTGAAGCATACCCTTAGTTCAATGTCAAATAAAAACTATTTTATCTTCTCATATGTTCACACAATTAAAAATAAAATTTTAATTAATTACAGGTGCTTGTTGATGGTCCCTTGACCGGTGTACCACGTCAGGAATACAGATTGAATAATCTACATCTGACCAAATACCGCATCAAGTTCCCCTTCACTGCCCCCACACGTATTGTACGCAAAGCATGGAAGGACAGCGACATGAAAGCCCAATGGAAGGCTAGCCCATGGTCGTCAAGATCACAGAATATTTGCAAGGTAAATTTCAAAATTAACAGTTATCTTTTGTGTGTTCAAAAAGTATTCACAACTTTAGCATGAGGATAATGAAAGTTCTTGATAGGAATTGCCGGCTGATACATATATGAAGCTATTTTATTTATTTTCTGAAAAATGTGATTTATAACTTATGCGTTAAATGTGTGGTATTTTGTTTAACAAGTTTTTTTTCTATTCCTTTTTAGCGCTCTCATTTGAATGATTTCGATCGTTTCAAGCTGCGTTATGCCAAGCGTCAACGTAACAAGTTGCTCACCATTGCCTTCAACACACTGAAGAAGCGTACCAAGTCTGACGGTACAGAGCGTAAATTGAAGAAGGACAAGCGCGAACGTATCCGTGAATTGAAAGCGCAAGGTGTGAAGAAGGGTGCTGCTAAAAAGTAAACAAGGTCTTTTAACTTTTCAGCTTAGTATGCTCGTGTACTAGTTGACTACTTTTCGGAGGAAAATAAAGTTATTTTATAGGAATAAAGAAATGTGGAGTCTTATTTCGTAGTGTTGATTTTAAGTAGGAACAATTTTAAGTATGTTTTGGAACACTATTGTAATTAAAGCCGCTCACACGACAGCCGGGATCGTTCTAACCGGAACGAACCATGATTATTGTCTGGCTAAGATCTGTTAACGCAGCGCCATACCTCAAAATTTTTTCCGAAAACTTTCTGCCGTTACAACAACAACAAATCTATCCGATGCTAAATGGTTGTAGTTCAAAACAAGTTAGGTAAATAGTGCAGTATTCATATTTATTATGAAAAAAGGTGAGGTACTAAATTTTTAACAAAAAAAAAAAAAGGAGCTAATATAATTCGTAACAAAATACGAATCATTTGATGTACATCAACAATAAAATAAACTTAAAATAATGATAACAAAGCTTCTTTCCTGGCACTTCGATATGTGCTAGGTATTTCCTTTCAATGTTTTTGCTTTATCTTCAAGTGGGCGTTGAATTACGATCGTTAGCTTTTCTTTAACCATCTAACTCTTGTCATAAATTAAGTGCCAATTATTTGGATGGTTATAACCTAATAGCACTGGCAGGTACAGGAACATGCTAATATGTTGCTCTTCAAGTGATGTGGAAATTTTTATCCAATTACGTAGCCATGCTATCATTTCTTCATGGCTAAGATTGCTGGGGTTGAGGCCACGTATATAGCACGAACGTCTAATACCGTCCGGATGCATGTTATGAACGTGTCCTTCGCGTACAATAGCTAAGTCCATGTTATGTACCAGGAACGCATGCTCCGCAAGATGATAACGTTTGAATAAAGGCGTTGGGACCCCATGCAGTTGACACAACAATTTCTGCAAAAACAAATTAATTACAACAACATTGAATTAAATGTGGGCGACGACAATGTATAAAAACAACTCACAACTTGTTTCCTACTTAGAGAGAGCAAATCGTATGGCGGTTGGGCAAAAATATCTTTGACTCTGAGCAATGACTCGACACTGGGATGAAAGCCGCTACCCAACATACCCAGTATCTGTTGCAGTTCTTGGTGACTTTCGTGTTTTTTGGTGTCTTTTAGTTTCGATTGTAGAATTCTGAAAACAGATTTATTATTTTTCAGCCGTCTTTGCAATATCGCTTGCTGGAACTCTGCCCGTTGTTGTATTGTCCAAAAATGCGAGCATAAGAAGAGCTGTGGATACGCGAAACTAAATGAAAAATTAAGAAAGTATGACAGTGTGTTATTTTTACAATATACCTACATTAACGGCATCGCCACGTAACCGACCAGCGGCAGTGCCACGACAATTAACGCAGGCGCAACTTTCATCATATCGCGAGGCATTTGCATGTAGAGCTCAAGTTCTTTACGATTGAGCGCTTTCAGTCCCATTGGTGAGTTATTCACAATGCGTGCTATCTTAAGGTAAGATTTCATATCATTGTAAAAATCCATTACGCCGTCAACATAAGTGCGATATAATTTCATGGCTGATGGAAAGTTTTTCTCCAACAATTTTTCATAATTTTTGATGTAGTCAAAAAAATGTTTAAACATATAGCCTTCGACGTTTTCTCTTGACAGCCGTTGAGAATGTAATTTTTTATCATCCTTGGCGGGTGGTGGCCATTTAGACCAACTCTGTGCAATGTCCGAGTCATCACTTTTAGCTGACTCATGCTTTGGTTCTGTTGGATATATTTTAGGTGGAACGATGGGTGGGAGTTGTGATTTCTTTTCGACAGCTCGTTTCTCCGTTGCACCACTAAAAATATATGTGATTAAATAATTCAAATTCGTTATATTTCACTTAATAATGTGTGAAGAGGAGGTGTAAATTACACTGACTTACCTTCGTTTCCGTATGACTATGACTAGGGGGGAGGCATACTGTTGCCGCTGCAGTGTAAATGCACTACTTTGGGAGAGATAAGCCGGTCGGCGCAAAAGGCGTAGCGCAAGGATCATCCCTTTAATTTGATTGTACCTCGTGCTACTTGAGTGTATTCATGCGGAAGATATCAGCTGTGGCCGCGCCACTGAATAGATAAAACACTTTGACCCAGTAAAATCAGAGAATTAATATGAATGCTTGAAAAATACCGTCCTATTGAGTAATGCGAACAGCAAAATGTCAAAACAAAAAATGAAAACAAACCACCGGGAAATGTCAAATTTTAAAGTTTTGAATATACACTGTGGTCGAAAAAATTTTTACCAATTATTTGTTCATTGTCATTTTTTATGAAACTGTTAAAATCTCTTGACATCTTGAATCTATTTAAATTAAAAAAAAACTTAAAACTTAAAAAAGTGGGTTATTAATTATGAGAATTGTAGTTGATTAACTTTTCCAACTCCTTGTATGATTTTTTTGCCTAGCTATTTAAAGTTATTAACTTTATTTGTTTGTGCAAAATGCAATTGTTTAAGGAAAAATCAGTTTTTTTTATTGTAAAAGTGTTTTGAGCACAACAGTCGCTAAGAAATTTATATAGTACGTTTCGTCTTTGACGTCGTAAATTTGAATCTAACAAAGTTCATAAAATTTTGCAGCATATATGAAGATATTGGCTTACTGAAATACTTAAACGGCAATCCAGCACCATTTACAGCGTTTACTGTACATGACAGTACCACTTTACCGGTGAAAGAGAGTGAGAGCATAAAAAGCGTTAAACTTTTGAAAAGCTCAAATTGAAAGCGCTTTTAAGAATCGGCAACTACCAACCAAACTAATCTACTCGCTGTGCGACAACAAGTCAGTTTGCTCCAAGACGTTCGCAGCTTCAGTGTAGACGAAATAAAAGATCCAACATCCATGTGAATAACGCATTCAATGGGTGCATCCGTGCGAATATCAAATGCGGCCGTTGATTACTAAAATAATTGCTTAATTACTTTTATAACGCAATAAGAATTAATTTTGTTTTGTGCTTTGAGGCTGTTTCGAAAGTACCGCAATTTTCATAAGCACTGTGTGTGAGTAAACAAGTGCACGGTTATGTGAAGTAGCATAGTTATAGGCGCGGTGTGGAAAAAAATGTAATAAAATAAAAGTGTGTAACATAAAGTTGCTGGCATTCGGTGGGATATTGTTACATGTTATTGTTGTTGTGAGCATTTATTCTATAGAATTTGCATACATCCGTCTATACATCCCTATATATATATGTATAAAAATGCATGGGTGCGTGTGAATATGTGTATACATATGAATGTGTTCACCTTGAATATACAGTGTGGCATAGATTTTGTAAGTAATAGTAAAATTTTTTTAATTCACTTCAGAGAGTATCCTTGAAAACGTGAGAAGTGAAGACTGGCACATTGCTTTTACACTTTTACAAATATTATACAATATTAGATGTACACACACACGCTTATACATTCATGTACATACGTGTGTAAGATGCAGAAACAAAGTGCAGGCGCGAATATAAATAAAAGTTCCAACAACTTTCTAGATACACAAATACACACATATGTACATATGTTTGTATATGGATGTGTGTGTACACACATTCGCGCCAGCGACTGTCAGTGCAAATAAAAACAAAGCGTTTGGGTCAAAAACGCGCCCAACAGTAGGAATGTGTGTATTGACTGGCAAGTGTTGACTTTTCTGTATTACATTTCTTAGCTATATACAAACATACAGTTATACAATAATATACACACATATATATTGTAACCATATGTGTGTACATATATGCGCACATGTGCCTGTGTCTGCTTTATATGTATATGTGCCAAGCGTTGAAACTCAGACGAGATATTTAAAATAAGCAGCGGCGCTCAGGTGTTCACCCTCTGGCCGATGACAAACGCCAACTCAGCTTGTCGGATATGCATAAATATGTTTAGCGCACACATATACATATGTACAAAAGAAGCGGCAAAACACCTGTTCGGGTTCAAATGATTGAGGCAGACAATATTCGAAGGCACTTGTGACCACTCAGAATAATTGTACGAGTGTTAAGTCCTAAATAAATGTGTGGCAAAGTGTATTTATGTGTATGTGTTTTGGCTGTATTGTAGGCCGGCATTTATGTGAATGGTCTTTTTCCAGAAGAAACATTGTCATTTGCGTATCATCGTTTAAACAATTGATTTAACATTACAATGTCTAGGTTGTCGGTGTATTTCTGAACGTAGGGTATGTATGAGTAAAAGCTGGTTGGTAGACATAACTATTAGTGTTCGCATGTTAACACAAGGGTGCCATTAAGGCTAGTAAATAAATTATTTGTAACTTTTCCACTAAAAAAGTATATTTCCAGTTCCGGTTTTAAATATGTAAGTAGCTTTTATTTTTTCTGCGTGCCATTCTAATACTTAGAATTATATAAAAATTGTATGAAAATAAAAAATTTGTATGGGTGAGTTTGTTTGACAGTTATATGCTATAGTGATCCGATATCGACTGTTCTATACATATTGGACAAATAAGCCGCTTCTTGGTAAAGAATTGGAGTGTGCAAAGTTTCAGATCGATATCTTAAAAATAGGGAATCGTTCGCGTCAAATACCTGGTTTAGTGTTGCCAAGGACTGTAGGCTCATCATTCTGTCCTATTTTTTCCGTAAACGATTGAGAGGCTATTTGATTGACAAACAAAAGGTCGCATTCTGAGAGATCATTGCTCAATAGCAGGGCACGCTTATAATAAGAGTAGATCTTTAGGTGGCTTAGCTAGAAAAAGTTATATTTACCTTCCTAGGTATCGGTGGAACTCTCAATAATGTTTTGCGGGAAGAGGTCGTAATGGCTCTTAGGAGATATGGCCTTGAATCAAACGTCAAGCATTTAATTTTCAGTTTTCTCTGGGACACAATGATCGTAGCTGTGGGGAGTGACGCACGCGTTCACCTAAAAGTAAATTGTGGCACGTCAAAAGGGGGAGTTCGAGATTATGGTAACTTGAGTTATGAGATTGTCGAATGATTGCCAAACAAAGGGAATTTGCTAAGTACCATGTATGAGCTAACTCAGTCTTATCTCGGCATCGTAAAAAACTGAGCGGCTAAACATAGCCTTGGCATAAGCCCTAAGAGATATAAAATCCCACAGTCGCGGATCGGAAGCGTTCGCCGTAAATCTGCTGTAAAAGTGAAATAATTATGATGTCACTTGGATAACACTGGCCTACAAAAAAAATTTTTGGTTTGGTGCAGCTCTGCGCGCATGAGTAGTCGGTATAGTAGGTAGGATGAACCACATAACTTATGTGCTACCAGATGTCAGCTGACAGCTCTAGTTTACCTACAATTCTCATTCTAATTTCCTCGTATACTATGTTTGTACGCACTTACCCACCACCGCATCGCGCATCACTCATACGCCCTATCAGACACTAAGTAATGTCAGCTTGTATGGTACTGTCCTGCGTGAGATCCGCCGTTTCAAATATTGGTTTCTGGCAATTTATGTGAGTAAACCAATTACACTGGCTTACAAAAATTTCTTTTGGTTTGGTGCAGCTCTGCGCTCATAAGTAGTCGGTATAGTAGGTAGAATGAACCACATTCCCGCTACTAGATGTTTTTTTCTTCTTTCTTATGAACAAGAGCTGATATGGAAAATGTAACTTGTTTTCTCGTATCAACTCACAAAAAAAAATCCAAAATTAGGTATAAAATCTTAGGCACCAAAATGGATGTAGGCCAGTGTAATAAGTTCTTGGAGAGAACAAAAAAGGCGGCTGTTGATTCCTTTTCATTGGTAGAGGTGCTTACGCGGCGGGTCCCCGACCCAGCGCACAACCTTTGGGAGGGATCCTTCACCTTTCTCACTTAAACTCGCCTCGCTCGGAAGTCGTGAGCTGCTTAAACCGTATGTTGAATAATCGTTTCAGGCCACTCCCAAGGCGCTGAGAGGACTTTCCTGACTTGCGTGAGTTTCAACACATGACTCCATTCTCCTCATTTCTGGCCACTCCTGAGTAAAACTACGCCAGTGAAGAAGAAATTTAGAGGAGCCATTGGCTAAGGTGGCGTCTCTTATCGCCAATTAAGCGCCAGAAAATAAACTCGAGCAGCATGAGGTTTCCTGTCTATTGTTGATTTTTTATCAAGCTGAGATTTTTGACATCAAATAATCGATTTATCTATTACTCCAGAGTGGAGCTTCCTTAAAGAATCTGACTATCTACTCCAATAGTAGAGCGGCAATACTAACTTTGAACATAATGACTATGGGACTCTGTCCCACAAAATAATAATGACCTATTTGGCTTCAGAAAAGTTAAGTTTTTTCTCTAATAAGATATAATACTCTTTAATATAACAACAGTTCCCATATATCCATTCATATAAGAATTTGAGTTTTATCGATTAGTTTATATGGTAGCTATATATTATAATGGACTGATTTGATCAATTGATTGTACCATTATTTTGGGGAATAACTTATGTGAAATTTCATGTAGATATCTAATAAATAAAAAAAAAATTTGCTTTAGTAGTTCGATAAAGGTGGTTCCGCCAAATAAGAAACTTCATGGTGAGAAAATAGCGTGTGTGAAAGTCGAAAAAGTCAAACTTCAATATTTTCTTTTATATTCATAACAATAAATAAATAAACAAATATGTATAATTTTAGTCGTACACTTTTTGCCACAGTTTAATCGAAATTTCGAAATTTGCAGAACGGAAGTGAGCGAACCATTGTTGTGTTTCACGAATTGATACATCATCGTCCACGTAAATTTCCCAAATTTCATAGGTAACTTTCGTTGCATTCATTAGTTTTTTATAAAAAAAAAAATCAAAATATAGCGAATTTTCATTATTTTCAATAATTTTTGAACAGCTGTAATTTTTTTCAAATTCCTTGAATTTAATTTTTTTTGGTTAAATGAAGCTTAAAACCTCTCCTTTCCAACACTATATGGTATGACACAATATAATTGGTAGCACTGATATCTCCAGCCTTCCAAAATACGAAAAGACTTTTTCGACTACCCAATATAAACGGAACTCGGCTATAATCGCGTAAGCGGTGTCTACGCCAATCAAGAAGAAGAAGAATATAAACGGACAGATGGGCATGGCTAAATCAACTGGCTCGGTTGATAATTTATGTAAATATTTTAAATAGTCTCTGATTATTTTCTGTATGTTACAAACTACGTGACGAATTTAACCTGTTCAGACTATAATAATTTTATACATTGTATGTATGATATTACTTACTTCTATATACATATTCCTTACTTCAGTCCTATGTAAAATCGGATTCACATAAAAATACATACCGAAAAGTTTTCCAAAATAGTTATTATAAATATACACTTCATATTAATTATTTATGGCATTTAAAAAAAAAAATAATAACTCCGAATTATTTGTGCGGCTTTTATTTGTACGAGTGCACAATTTGCTTTTTGTGTTTATATAGTGGCCACAGGCTGTGAACTTTTACTGTGTCTAAAGTCAAATTGTTCGAAAAATGCAAATAATATATATTTTTGGCACTGACCCAACACGAAGAGACACACCTGTAGAATGCTCTTTAACTATGCTCTGCACTGACGGAAAAGTAAATACGCAGAAAAAGATAGATAAAAGTAAAACACAAATTTTGAAGGGTGATGGACAGTTGTAAAAAGTAGATAATAATAATTTGCAAATGGAAAACATTTACTTTGCATTTGAAAGATATTTTGTGTTGACAATAAATTTTCTCTTGCTTTCGTAATTAAATCACACTCTACGATGCAATTATTTTTAATATTGCCTCATCATTCCGAACTACACTTATCCGAAAGGACATCACTCAAAGACCACTTAAGCGCACAAGCAAAAAACGCGTGGCAATTGGCGGTGAAGTGAGTGTCGAGTGTCAATAAATACATTACTCGGCTAAGTGATTGCTGCACACATACACATCAACGTTAGATATTTTGAATGCACTGCAAACTTAGTTACTCACACGCCCTGTAGACCACACATTGGCACGTTACTCATTTTATATGGAGTTGGTTACTCATACGTCATGATGTACGACATTGTGCAATGCTTACGTTTCATACACGCTTTGATGTCAAAATTGCATTAATGCCGCCATTGCATGCATATTTA